TTATAAGCCCAGTTTTTCCTCCCTTTCTTGCCATTGGCCTCAAAATTGGTGGGTTAGTACTGTAGCAGAGGTAGAACCTTCCCCTATCTCCCAGTTTGAAGTGAATTAGCTCTGAACTGTGGCACCCTAAAAGTAGAGGGGTTCAGAAATCTATCTTGAATGTCTTCTGAAGTGTGATACAAATTTGGGTATGTCTTGCTGTAACTGAGCTGGAAAAACCAAAATGGTCACACAGCTTTACGGAAACATTCTTTATAGCCCGAGAGAGCATTCAAAGTGTCAGCCCAAAGTAAAGTTTAATAGCCTGCTATATGACTATCTCAAAGGAAATACCTAATGGAAACCCTGTCAGGTCCTTAATTTATAGTAGTGCAGCTGGCAACCACTACAATGAAATGGATTCCTACCAGTATAGTGTAGCTGATTACATATTGTTTAAAGCATAATTGCTAAAACTCAGTGGTTAAAGTAAGCAGCCTGTTTTGTTAGTGTGTTGTGGTATTTTCCTAAGCAGTCTTAATGAAGATAACTTAATTATTATTTATTTCTGGAAAGTTGATAAATATGTACCTAAGGTTTTTGTGTTAAGTACTTTTTCTTTCTTTCTTGCAGTTTTCACCATTTCATGCAACTTTATTGGCCTCCTGCTCCTATGATTTTACTGTGAGGTACAGTGTCTTTTATTACATGCGAGTAGGAAGAGAATCTGTTTTTGATTGTGTCTCATATATAAGAGATGGGGTATGTTTGTTATGCCAATAGAAAAATGTTCTAAACTGGGCACACTTAAGTGTTTGCTGTCAGGATTATTATTCATGCTTTCCATTTTCATGAGTTGGCTACAAATGCATGGATTCTTCTCTATTTAAAGGTTATCTTAGTGGCCCTTTATGAATTATATCTGCCCTAACAGATGCTGCTTGTGAACATTTTCCTACCATTATGCTGAACAGGATTTTGTCCGGTTGTGATGTGGTTTTTTTTTATTAAGAAGGTAGCAGCAACCGCTTCATTGAATATATTTGGGTAACTTATCTTATCTTTTTGTGACTTATTTATATTTAAACCTGTTGTGAAGGAAAACTCCACCTCCTTTTTTTTTGAGAAAGCTCAGTCTTGCACGCTCTTTTTCAGTACATGGCTGAAGAACTTTGATACATCACAGGCCCTTGGACTTTCATGATATTTTTAGGTTTAAACCTATTGAATTGTACAGTACAGTAGAACTTCAGTAACAATAACTTGGCTACATCAATAAAACTGATGGTGCTAGTAAGGATTTTATAAGAGCACTGTAGAGAGGTGTCCTATTATTAAGACATCACTCTCTACAAGCTATATTAATTTATGATCCTATACTATGAAGTACCCCACTAAATACTTACATTTACCACTCAAGGGTGTGTTTTGAGGTGTAATTAATTTTTATGCTGTAAAGCGGATTGAAGATGTTATGTTTAATTACTAGGGCTAAATTTCTTCCCCTCCTCCTTCACCCCACCCCCCAAGTGATGTGGTAGAAAACTCTTCTAATTTTCCAAATTCCAAATTTTCCAAAATCATTCAAAATTTAAGTGATGCTTTAATTTAGATTGCAGGCTCTTTGGGTTATCTGTTTTCATCATAGTCTAGCACGAGGTCTCCCAGTTACTGATAGGAGACCTCCGAAAAACAACCCTAATACAAATAATAAAAAACTATATGTTCTATACATCCTGATGTTGTTTTTCTAAATAATAGCATTAGCCATAGTCAGCTCACTCCACTCGACTCCATTTCTGAACAACCATTCTTAGCTATAATGGTATTGATTCAGCATTGAGACACAATATTGTGAAAAGTTGCATCATGAGGCTGCATTGTTCCAGGTACCATGAAAATCCAGTATATATTGAAACAACTTTATGGGAAGACCATTCTGCTGTACTGGAAATGCTGCAGTTTCATGTAGAGTTCTTATATTTTTAATACTGTTTAGGTCTTTAAGCTATTACCTTATTTCTTCATAATATTTTTATTAAACATATGTGGTTTGTGAAATCAAAATATATAATCATTTACCAACTCATTCTGTCAGGACAGAAGTTAAGGAGGATGGGAGCAGGGAGGAAAATATATACAGTCCAGAATAGCAGGGCAGTGTAATACAGTAAGCCTCTTAGCTGTTGTATACACCTCTATCAGAATAGTCACAAGGTAGGAAGAGGAGAGAGAAGAGAGAATAAAGAAAAGTGTAGGGTGAAGTCATCTTAAAATACTCAAAATAAAAACCAACATCACTTAATATATAGATACATTTAATCATCCCTCACAGAAGAAGAGAAAACCAAGATTCAGTACAGGAAGAGTGGGATATATGAGCTTGAAAAAGAAACAGACTTGAAGATATGATGCCAAATTGGATGAAAACTCCATGCTTTGACCTAGAAAACTAATAAGCAGTTTTATGAGTTAAGTTCTTTTTAACTAGGCTAACAGCAGGCTTCACTGGAGAGAACAGGCTTTCAGACCAAACTAATAACACTTCTACTTGTTTGGCAAGCATTTCTGAAACAGAAGGAGAAAAGACTGAGGTACAGAGTTCTTTTACCTCTTAGGTGGCTGGTTTGAATCCAGATCATGTTGACATTCATGAAAGGTATTTACTGTCTGGTGGGTGAAGCAATTGACAGTCTCTATCCAGTTCTTAATAGACAGGTGCTCATTGGAACTAACTGGCTTGCTTGTTGGAAATATCAGCAGAAGGGAAAGGTGGTCCCTTAAAAAGTTGCGAGATAATAGCAGTTAGTGTAAGGAAGCTTAAACCTCTGGTGCCAGTACTGTATCTGTTCTCTGGTTAGGATTCCACACGCTTATATTGTCAATAAGAAATTTTTCACCAATTCCAAATTTCATTTTGAGCAAAAAACTTCACTATCACAATGGCGGAGTAAAAGAGTTTCTGTGAACTGGTATGGAAAATCATTTCCACATTTTACTTTATGTATGAAAATGGTCATCTAAAAGCTTCAGTGTTTTATTCTGTATTTGTTTTGAACTAACAGCTATCTAAATGCACCTGGGACAGGAGGCTGAAAATTTGATAAACCTTAAAATTATGTACTAATCGGGGAGGGGAGAATTCTTCTAACTAGACTCTAGCACTCACAGTAGCAAATGCTATAATTTTGAAATTAAAAAAAAGTCTAAAAATGTGTTTACCTTCAGGAGACCAATTTAGACTGAACTTACTCATATGATCAAAAAGTAATGTAACTATAGACATCAAAACCACAGCATTGTTCAGAAACTAAAAACATTGTGTAGTTGCAAAACTCTGATATATTGGTTCACATTGAAAAGAACCATTGTTACAAAGAACAGTAAGAAATACAGTGTAGCCAAGCGTACAGACCTTTTGTTAAGGAAGTTCTAGTTGTCTCCATAGTTAAAGTTGAAATGAGTTTTGTACTTAAATCAGGGGTTTGACTTCTTTCTTACATAAGAAAAATACAGTACATCCTTTCCAAAATTACAGCATTTACTCTGATTATAGAATTAGAATTAGGTGAAGTTTGTTTTGGTGAATGGCTAATTCACCAAAATATGTAGTTTTGGTTGACCAATTTGCAGAACAGTTTTGACAGAACTGAAAAATTGAAATGTTTTGGTAATGTCAATATGAAATGGTTGGTTTTAACATTACTGAAACACTTCAGTGTTTTAGGGTGAGGTCACAAAATGGGAGGAGCGGGAGGTGGTGGTGCTTTCCTTATCACTTCTAGCCCAATTATTAGGGCACTCATTGCTACGTAGGTATCCTGTGTTTATTGCTCCCCTATGCCTGATGTGGAGAAAGGATTTGAACTTGGGCTCTACCCACGTTGCAGGAACGTGCCCTAACCACTAAGCTATGGATTAGTCTGGGGAAGTCTGGAAAGTCATTCACACTCTTTCCTTGGCCCAATGACTATCCATTGTCATTATGAATTACTATGGATAGTCTTTGGCCCAGAGAAAGAGAGTGAAAATGATTCTCTGGACTGGTGTTTAGGGCAATCATGTAGGATATGGGAGACCCAAATCGGAGTCCCTGCTTCAATGACTATAAAAAGCAGAACAGTTTCAACTGGAGAGAGTGAGAGAGAGACTTGCCCTAGAATATCACATAGCCCAATGCAAGCTCCTGCAATGTGGGAGACAAGTTCAAATCCCTTCTCCATGTTGGGCAGAGGGAAGAATTGAACCTGTGTCTCCCACATCCCAGGTAAGAATCCTAACCACCGGGTTAAAACTTATAAGATAGGAAGTGGCAGCACCACCACCTTCTCCTCTAGGAATTTTATGAATCTAGTCCTCCTTTGCTTTTGTTTAAATACCCAGGTGCAAAAAGTAGAGTAAAACGAATCATTTCATTTGACCTGATTTGCAGTGCTTTCCAATTTGTTCATTTTTCTGAGAAATTTGAAAAAAAAATCATTTTCGGTTTGCCCCAAACAAAAATTTTTCAATTTTTTTGTAATTGCCAGCAAATCGAAAACCCCATTGTTTGTCCAGTTCAATATAGAATAAACTTTGAGACATTACAAGTAAATCTGATTGAGTTAAGACCATTTTAAAATTAAGAAATCCAGCACCCTATGACCTCTTTTGCCTCTAAATGATTTTTAAGAAAATCGTGTAGACTCCCGCATCTTCCCATTTAGCTAAAATCACAAATCTTATGAAGAGGTTATGGTTGAAGAAATTATTTTTAGGATTAACGGTAACTTTTTCATGTTACCCTCATAAATCAGCTTCTGTTGATTAAGAAACTGTTATCTTCGAGAATTACATGAATTACCCTCTTTCAAAAAGTCTGCTATAGCCTATTGCTCTAGATGGGACTGAGGCCATGGGCTTCCTTTAGCAATATTGGCCATTGCCTCTATTCACCTGCTTCTCCCAGTGCGCTCTGGGCCTCCTGACAGCAAGAGGGATATCATTTTCCCTCAGGGCATCTGGCTGCACTCTCATTGGGAACTGATAGGAGGCAGTGGTCATTATGAAAGAGGGCATCTTAACTGTGAGGACAGCGTGTGGCCTCAGGCCTATTGAGAACAATGGGAGATGGTGGCCCTTGTCAAAGGGAATTGTTCTTTGAGGTTTTTTTGAAGGAAAAGATTTTATGCACTGGCCTCTGCTGACAGATAAATCTTCAGTTACAAAAAATAACAACCAAAAATGGAAATTAAACCTAAACATTTATTTAAAATAAAACCCAAGAGCTTCTCAATGGGGAGGGAAGGAGAAATGGGATGTACATTCCTTAGCATTTCTGTGGCATGTAAAGCAATTGGAAACACAGCTTCCATGTCTTATGTTCTGGCTGCCCTCCACTACTTCATTGGTGGCATAAAATAGTCAAAGTATACTTGTGAAGCTGTTCCTAAAAATTAAAATAAATGATTATTGCCAATGCCACATATTTAAATCATTAGAAATATCACATGATAACAATCCCTTTTTTGTTTAGTGTTTATGTATGACATTTTTAATTAAAAGAAGGAAATTCCAAGGCAAAACATTTGAGAGCGTACATATCAGGAATTTAGAATATTACAGGAATATTATAATTATCCCCAAAGTAAGCATTACAAACCAGGAAATTCAGAATGAAGGTTAATCTTGAGAAGTCTAACACATTAAG